ACGGAATTTTGATAAATTAAATACAAATAATTTATTACCAAGACGATATTTTCAAAACTCGGTATAGTTTGTAATGGTGAGACTATTTATTTTGTTCTAGTCGGTTTCACGCCCCCACATACATATTGAAAGATGAAAAAATGTATTAATTCAATTAATTGCGAATGTATACGTCAGTTGAATGTGATATGACCCAAGACTTTCAAACCGATCACCTCGGGGTTATATCACACTGTTCGGCAAATGTTTTCTGGTGAACTCAATCTACTTTACAAACTTGAATTAATATTATTTTTGAAAACAAATGAGCTGAATAACACACCACAGCAAATTTAATCATGATATGAAACTTTGATAACAAATATCCGTCCAAAGCGGAAACATTTGCTTAATTTGTACGTTTTTAACCTATGTATTACGTCAGTGCTGACGACGATTATGTGCTTGCTTCACTTTATCTTCCTTTGTTCAGTACATAAAACATATATTTTGATCAGATTTGGCTGGCTTTGTACAGGTGATACGACTTTAACCAACCGGACTTGTTCAAATACGCGTAATTGTAATTATTATAATGTGGCAGATAACGTAACGGTTTGGCTCAGAAGTTAGTTTGATGTGTTTTTCTCAATATATTCTGAAATAATTATACCGGCGGATGTCCAGAGAATGGACGATGACGTCACTGTGAAGCCGTACGTCACTATAAATTCACCGTTCCAACTACAGTGAGGACATAAAAACGTCACATGTAGTGACACGTTGATTCCCACTTTTTTTCTGGAGTCGATGATTGTTACATTCACATTACACTGTGATAGTGAAGTGACGTGATGTGATGACCAAATAGACGAACCTTTGCGGTCGATTTTAGCTGTGCGCGAGACCTGACCGGGAGGCGGCTATTATCATTGTTTCTATCATTTTTCTCACGATATTATTTCCTTTCTTGTTCTGTCAGAGTAATAATTACTCATTTAGACTGATTACCCGTGCAATAATGTCCGGCAACTAATTAATATACTAATTAAGCCACACAAAGCGAACGCAGTTCAGTAACCATGACAGCCTGAGGGTAGACGGCGGAATGTGTTCAATGCACATATAGTAAGAGAAAATATTTCAGTGTTATCAAGACAGACTGCATGCGTGTCATATTCAAAACACCACCAATTTTCAACCATAATAATTCATAGTTATTGGTTCTGCCCAAGTGTGGACCGTCACTAGATGCCGTCTCAAGTATTATCGTGAGAAAAATATACGAATAATAGACGAAGAATAATAAGGCTGGGGTACTGTAGGTGGGCCCTACGTACGAGTTGACCTGCGCAGCGGAGTTTCCATGGTAATATACTGACAGAAGTCATTGAGACAACCAATCAGTGATGACACAGAATTTTGAATGGCTGTATTCCAAACTAACCCAAGGCCGATAATAAGATTTATCTCCCCGAAGTATAGGATAAAGCACGAGCACGAGGGTTTTCATCCAACTTAAAACCTGCCGCCACAATCCATCTATAATAATATGTATGAGCGAGCTCTCTCTGTAAAAAAAAAAATCGAAATTTAACCTATGCTACTCTTTTCAAATGTAATATGCTATAGAAGCCCTAGATATCGACCGAAGCCAAAACAGTAACTGTTTTATTATCTAGAAGAGAACAACAAGTCAGTAAGTGTAAGGTGGCACTGTGGGTCAAAACGATGAGTTTCTGCAGTGGGTTAAAATCAAAATCATCTTCCGGCGGAGAAAGTGTCATCCACGATCAAGTGTCAAACGATCATATGGCTACTAATACTAATAAAATATCAAAGCATTATAAGATAAGGACATTGAACTGGTGTGATCCGAAGTCACACGAAATTTTAAAGCCGGAGGGTCGTTACCCGCGCAGGTGCGGAAATTGAGTCCAAGCGATGATAACAAGACACGCTAAAAACGCAAAGGCTCATGCACAGAGGGACTGTGGCTTATGGCTAAACGCTTGTTTGCAAACAATGACATGTTATGGCCATCTGACGCATGCGCAGGTGACG